TCTGTTTTTACCATTTAACACTAAAAATTGGCAAAAAAATCTCTCTCATATTGAGGTGTGACATTTTCTTGGGGTTGGGATTTGGTGGTTGTGTTTTCCTTCGTAAGTGGTGATCACTGCCTTTGAGTCTTGGAATGCTCTTTCAACATGTTTCCTTACACAACAACCTGTAAATGTACACTTGTAATAGCTCCTGCAAATCATATTCATCTTTATAGCCTTAGCTCAAGCATCTCTTTGTTGTGTAACTCAGAACTATATTGATAACAAAGAAGAAGAAACAGACCTTGGATTGGGATTGCCCTTGACAACTTTCTGACCATATTTTCTCCATCTATAACCATCGTCAAGTATGTCTATATCACTTGTTGTCTGAACCACTACTCTTGGTTCCTTCACATTCTCTTCTCTTTTCCTGCATAAAACCAATCACACATCTCATTCTTTCCTCTCCATTTTTTATTTCAATTGCTTTATTATTATGACTCTGCCTTACCATCTCTTGCCACTTGCTTCATCTTCACCAAACTCTTGACCATGATCTCCATGACTGTTACTCTGAATGAAGTCAACGTTACGTGTTGCTGCAGTAGTGGAAGCTGGTCTCTTTGTGGAATGAGGTTTGGGATGATTGTGGCTTCCTTTATAGACAATCTCAGTGATATGACCATTTACAAGAGACGTCTCTACTTTCTTCTTTGTGAGGCAATTTGGGTACGTGCATTTGAAGTAACTCCTCGGGTTTTCGCTTCCTTTGACTTGCTTTTGCCCGTATTTACGCCAATTATAGCCATCGCCAGAGGGTTTGTTACCCGTATGCGGCGACCGGGATTCATATTCGGGTGCATCAAGTTGGATTAAAGGCTCAGCTACCAACTGAAAAAAAATGAGCCAGTTGGAACAAGAATGTTTTAAAGATAAACAATGCAAAAAAAAAGGGCCATACAGATGGTGGGGACAAGGTAGGAGATGTGTGGTTGTTAGTGAAGGCAAAATCAAAATGTTTCTTCTCATCTTCAGGTTTGATTTCAATCCGGTCTACGAGCAAACCCTTGTTATTCCAGTTCATAGATTGCGCCGGAAACGTTCCTGTTGTTGGAGATGGCAAAATCTGTGATTTCAGGATAACAAACCCCATAAGAAGATATTTTGAGATTGATTAATATCCCATTACAATAGATTTTTAGATATTTTCTTGAGTTGTTCCAAAATCCCAAGAAGAAAGACAAACCAATTCTTGAATACAAGTCATATAAAAAGACACACAAAAAAGTGAAAACTATCATTGTTTCAACTGAGAATTGCATTAGATGTGATAGTCACATACGTT